CCCCAAAACCCCAAAACCCCAAAACCCCAAAACCCCAAAACCCCTAAAAAAATTTACGTTATTGAATTGAAATAACCTGTTTTATCCTCTCTTGATAGGGAAGTTGGAGCTACCTTCAAAGAGTGGTATCATTGAGCTAGATTTTATGATTCCAGTCCCTGATCTTTCAAAGCTTGGTTCTTGTCCAAATGATTTATAATCATCGTAATCCTTAGGTAGGTCATCAAAATTTAGCTTTATGTGAGATCCAAATTTCAAGCGCTCGATCAGGAAATCATACGCTTGATTTTTCATCTCAGCTTCATGATGTCCACTTGACATATCCTGAGCATGAATTCTTGAATTGTCACTGCTTTTCATTTGGTGGAATAGAGAGTCGATAGGGATGATTTGTGGTTGTTGAGGGGCATTGTCACCATGCTCCTCATGCTCCATAAACGATCCTATCAAGTTTTGGATCCCTCCTTTTGGACTATCCCTGTTTTCTAAATTTTTATAGGTATTTCTTCAATGCTGGTATTTGAATCTCTGCTGAGCGTCTCCAGGATGGTAGTTGACAGACCCCTCTAGTCCGTCCTTATCTGGAGCTATAACCTATTCTGATTAGTCTTGGACTTGGTCATAACCTTATTAAGCCAATCATTATTCATAGCAGCATCAGAAGATTCTTTTAACTTAACTTCCGGTTTAATCTGTGGAGCAGAATACCTCAGAGCGTGTTTAGATTCATTAGTATAAGGAGGCGCTACTTCCAAAATTTCATCCACAACATGGTTGTATTCAACAAAATCTTGCTCAATTTTAGGATTATGAGGCCTACTAAGCTCGATATACTTCCTATTCATAGCTACAGGCATCGGGTGAAATGAGCCTGAATTTTTGTTGACCCACACGTTAAATTTTTCAATGAAGTTATCAATATGGGAGAGAAATTCTTGCAATACCTCAGTTAATTTCTTATTGCTGTTTAGCGTTGCCTTAACATATAGAGCAGAGAAGAGGGTCTTTTCTTCGACAGTAAATTCATCATCGATTAAAGGAATGTCATCTAGCCACAATGCCCATGTTATGATTTCGTACTCATTCAACATCATTATTTTTGACGCATTTACAAGAAATTGCAAAAGTGGGTATAAAGCTAACGCTGGCATCCTTTGAGTAGTCTCGTGAGCCATCCTTCTGAGGTAAAGATGCGATTGCTGAGTGACTCTCTCATCCTCATAGACTCTCTTCATGTTGTTATACTCCCTGATCAGATGCTGACGATAGTTTGAATTTTCATTTTCATTTTCATCAGATTCAGATTCTTCATAATATCATTCAGAGATATTATTTCGCTTGCTTCTTTTCCGAGTGAACACCTCGTTTTGGTGATCCTGGAATGGGTTACTCCTTTTCCTTCCAGAGCTAGGACTGGGCCTAGTAGCATCGTTGGAATTATTTTGGACATTATTCCTAGATTTGTCATCAGCATAGCTGAGTTCAAACTCTTCTTCACTAATTTTCATTTTACCTTTTTGTCAAGAATATATTTTATAAAGAAATTTTCATTCGATCTTATTAAAAGGGGTTTTGGGGTTTTGGGGTTTTGGGGTTTTGGGGTTTTGGGG